TGTTGGGAGCGGGATGGGGGAATGCTGCAGTACGAAGCAGAGAGACAGCGGAGATGCTGTGGAAAGAGATGGAGAGTAATAATACGAGTATTAGGGGTAGTCAGGGAAAAGGGTACAGGAAAGGAAGGAGCACAGGGCTCCTCCGCAGGAACACAGGAGAGGGGAAGGACATATCATGATGGGGCATCTTAAGAGGGAGCAGGGAAGTTACGCTGATAATAGATCAATATCTGTCGTGACACTGACCACAATAAGCACATCAACAAAACATCTAATTCTTTAACACAGCCAAGCTTTTTTCTTGGTTCCTGCCAGTGAAAGGCTGGGCACCCTTGGCACAGGACACCGCAGGTAGCAGGAAGGGGAGAAGCAAGCAGGTCTGGGCTCTGCATGCCCAGGGTCTGGAAAGGGTTTACTTGTGTGTAAATCTTACTGAAATAAGTGAGATTTAAGCAGAGGCTTAACTACTGCACTCAATAGAAATGCTTTCTTGAATGAGGCCCTTCATCAAGAAATGTTAATCAATCATCAGATGTATTTCCTTCCCAAGATGTCTGCCTGCGAGGACAATTTCATCACCTCTGAGGTGCTCAAGAACATTAGTGACAAGGCTACATAGCCACCTGGGCAGGGAGAGCGCTGAACCTCTCAGCCCCGAGTTCTGCCACCTGTGTTCATGATAAATAGTATATTTTTTCCTCTGAAATAACCTCCAACTACTTTAGCAAGACTGCTGCTGAATGCAGGACTGCTCCTCACAAGAAAGATGACAGACTCCCATCTTGGGCTGCTGACTCCTTCATACGAGGACTTTACAGACAACTCTGAAGACCACCTTCGTGCCGGCATCACAGGCACCACAGAAATGTGCAGTGGATGCTCCACCTCCTCCACCTGCGCGGAAAAAAAGCCACGTGCCTTCGGCAGAAAATAAACCCATGCAGTCAAATACCAGAGCGAGGTGGGGGAAAAGTCAGGCAAATTAAATAGATGGATCAGATTCCAGCACGCCCCAAAGGTCACTCCATGCAGGGTCTGCCGGAGGGAAGGTGGGAGCAGCGTCGCTCCTCCAGGGAGGGTGCCAAGCTACCAGTCTCTTGTCGATTAATCCTGGGGAGCAGGAGGCCATGAAGAACACCCTGCCAATTGTAAATGTGGTGATGGGGCATTGGGGGCATATATACGCATCATTAGTCATCCACAAGAATTTTGTTTTTGTAACCTCTGCATTTTTATCTGTCACTTCGAGCAATAAATATGCACTCCCGCCAGTGATTTGACATTACACTTGCTTTGGATGGTTGCCTTTCCCAAATATTAATAGTAACTCATTGTGGACACAGCATTGGTATTTAGTTAGATCAGACCAGCTTCTTTTAAAAAACAACTTTTCGTATAAAGAGAACAGATGTTTTTAATTTACACAAAGAACAAAAACAAAGTTCTATTGTTCGGTTACAGTGAACACAAACATTACAGGCACACAGAAATTAACACCAACAGCACGTTAAAAAAAAATTAAAAGCCCATCATTATACAGGTCTGCTTATTTGCGCCTTTTCCACCACATTAACGATTTAGTGGCATGCAATGATAGTCAGTGTTGCTTTTTGGAATTCATATGAATTTGCATGGGGCATATTTTAAAGATAAAAATGGCATAAACACAAGGACACTTTCTAAACACACATTATACAGAAAATAATAATAATAAAAATAATAATAATAAAAATAATAATAATAATAATAATAATAGTTTTATAATAACAAAGGAAGAATGTAAACTCTTACAGTCAAGGGCATAAGCCAACTACTAGCTCATGGGGACAGGAAGAAATTGCCTTTTTGAGCTGATTATTCTAGGGCTGTTCCTTATAGGGTGTATTTTCCTCTGCACCATCTGCACACAACAGTAAGGCCTCAGCCCTCTGGAACACAATGTATGCATACAAAAACCGACAGAGCATTTTAATTGCATCAGTGAGGCTATCTCATGGTATGGTATGAAGTTAAACCAGAACTAGCCGTACACACTATTTTTCCCTGGGGATTTCAAAGCCGTTTGAATGTACTTACAAGCTCCTGGCACGTGCAGGTGGGAGCAGAGCTCAGGCACACATCCATGCCAAGGTGATCAAGCCCTTTCCAGAACAGGAGTGCTACCCTGCAGGTGGAGATTGCTTGCACCTCTCTGTGCCTCTCAGACACACACCCTGAGAAAAGGTTTCTCAGAGATAAAGCTGAGCATCATTCCAGCTTCTCACCCGCTGGACCCACAACTGGATATCTAATTCTCAGCTTACTCCAAGGTATGGCTCTTCCCATGCAGAAGCATCTCCTCTAGCATCTCCTTCTTGAAGTGGCTCTCTCTAGTTGGTTGCCACATCTTAGGGCACCTTCTTGGGCAGCTTTTTCTAGGTTTAGAAATACTGACTTTCCAATATTTCTATCTCTATTTCAGATTTGCCAGTCCTGCAGCTGCAAGAGGACAAGGAGGGCAGGGATGCCTTATCTTGGCTTCTCCCTACTCTATATAAGCAAAGATTCTGCTTTTAGTACATTAAGACAAGACTTCACCCCACTTCCTTTCCCATTGTTCACTAGTTATTTTTTTGCCCAATAATGGGTGCCATTTTACTCTATCCCACACTCAGACTAAGTATCAAACTATGAGGTTTACTTAAGACCATCACATGGGACCTAGTGGGAAAAAAAACCAACTCCCTTGCATTTTAACCAGTTGGAAAAATAAAGTTATAATTAAAAGACTTGAGACAGAAAAATGAAGTCTTTTTCTGTAGCATTCAGGTAATCTGGGGATTTCAGTGCCACAGAACAACAGAAAGACAAACACCATGACTCAAAGGGCTGGAGCCTTTTTCCACCACTAAAAGCAAGCCTCACTGGGAGAAGTGCTATATGCGTGCTGCTCCAAGTGGCCGGTTTTAAACTTTCAATCACATTATATAATACAAAACCCAGTTCCAGACCCATGCAGGAAAAAAAGAGAAAGCAAAACATTACATTCATACGGTACCTTTCAGCTCGAAAGAACCCAAGGCATGAATCATCTTATCCACCACAGAATGCCATCACCTCAACGTCGAAACAGAGCAGCTGTTTATTACCCTACAAGAACATTAAGATGGGTGCTCTTATGCAGCCAAAACAGCAAGGAAAACCAAGTAGACAAATATAATAACCTGGAATGCACAAGCTTATCCTCCCTACCTTTATAATGAGTACCAGAGGGACTTTAGGGACCACAAGCAGCCGATGCTTCCAGCTGCCCAGTGCTAACAGTGCTTTCCGCAGCGCTTAAGCGATCCTTGGAAGCCAAAAGCATTTGACCTGGACTTGCTTTGCTTTGCTTGGTTGACAGTGAGGCCAAGAGCTGGCTATTGCACACTGACCACAATTGCTATGTCACATCCAAAGTTGTTTCTGCCACATTTAGAACAACAATTAATGCCAGAAACAGAGTAATTGTGATGCTCTGAGTTGTCCAAAGATCCGGAAATTCATTTCCTCACTGCTTGTGCAAAGGCAGCTGATTGCAATCGTGTACCTGTCCTGATGGTTGGCTGTTCATTAATAAATTGCAATCACGCTCTCTCAAACCTGGCTCCCTCAGACCTTGACTGTCAGTATCTCAGAGAGATGCTGCATGGCTCTTGGAAGTGGCTTATCAAAATTGGAACCGTTTGCTATCCAAATATACTGAAGTTTTCACTCAAAATTAAAAACCTCGTTGTTACACCACACTCATCACTGTGGTATCTGAGTACCGCCATTTCCAGCCGAATTTCAGCCCCAGCTGGATTCAATGAAGAGTCACGCTGAGTCTGGGGACGCAGAGTTAACACAGGCCAGGATCATGCAGCGAGTCCTGCGTGGGCTCATGAGAAGTTTGTTGCAGAAGTTGAATTTCAGCTCCCGCTGAATGAGAAAGGGTCTTGTGGCCAAAGGACATTAATTAGGAGATTGCTAAAGCCCCGGGGCTCCGCTCCAGAGCACTCACACAAGCGTGCCACCGGCTCCCTGCTGTATAAAGTGAGAGTGTCTGGCAGGGCGGTGGTGTGGGTTCTGCTGTTACTGTAGAGGTCCTCTGAGAGAGGGGGACAGAGGAGGAAATTACACTGATCGCACTGTCTCCTGTGAGAGGATGTGCCCACTGGCTTTTGTTTATCCCAAAGCGATGTGAAGTATACTATAAAAACAATCTCCTTTCTACAGCACAGCTCTGCTCATGCATGTGAACAAAAGTAAGGTAAGAATGGTTGGGTAATGCCCCAAAATAGGGACCAAAAGGAGATTGAGCCCTGGGTTTCAATGGCTAAAATGTCAACCTGAATGTCCTGTACTTCTCACCCCACTCGCAGTCCCAGAGCCACAGCTCCCACCAGGCACAATCACTTTCTCTTCCCAGGCAATATGTTTGGCCATTTACAGACCTGCACATGGTCTGACTGATCCAGAGATAGAGGACTACTTCTAAAAACAAAATGTTTTCACCAAAACACTCTCCAATAATCAAACAAATCAAAGGGCGACCTAACTGGATCCACAAAAGCAAAACGTGTAGCTGCCAAAAAACTGCTGTTATCTCTGGCATGGCTGGGTCACTGGGACATTTCACAGAAACAAAAATGTATTTCCTCTGTAGACCCAATTAAAATACCTGCAAAGAAATGTTTCATGTGCTCTTAAGACCTGAAGCCAAAGCTACCCAACTGGCTTGTAAGGAGTGAGATTACTTCCCAGGGGTTGATGGAAAGCACCGAGCACCCTCTGGTGCACTCATTAAAATTAGGCTCAGCAGCAGCATCTGACCTTGTAAATACCTGGCAGAAGGGTGCTCTGCCCTCCCAGCGAGAAGGAGGCTGCCTCCCACTGCCAGGAGCTCAGATAACGTTGGAGGGCACTGCAGGATTCAGCCCAGGCGTCCCTCCACGACAGAAGCCACCAGCCTCTCCTGATTCGCACACAAGGTTTGGAGAAGACAGCACAAGCTCTGTTGCAAAAGGTCAGCTATACCTTTCCTCCTGTGTCTGGCCAAGTTCCTTCTCCACAGCTGGGTCAGCTTTACTTCAAAGGGAGGAGGACTTTGCTGCCCATGCACAGGTCTCTGGAGACAGATGGAGGCTGTGGGTTACTTGCTATGCAGGTAATGAGACTTTGGTTGCTGCCTTGTTCCATTGTGATGGTTTTTTTCTCTGTTCACCCCGGCATTTGTTCATGTACTTATACTGCAGGATCTGGCTGCTTTTCTTGCTGTTCTGGCTGGGACAAGGAAGGCAGATGGCTCCCCCAGGTTGGTGAAACATCATAAAAGGATTGTGGGGAGAGGCAAGGATGAGAACTTGGTTATTTCGCTTGTAACAAGATGTGCCTCTTCTCTGCCCTCCAGTCTCACTGGCTCATCTGCTCTATATGTGCTCCCACCAGGTTTTGTAGAAAGCAGTTGCCACTCCAGGATTTTTTGGATGAAACTGAATAAACTCTTGCTCCAGGGAAAGTTCTTCCAGCTGGAAATAAATGGTGAGTCACAAGTGGCAGCCCTGAGTATGAGGAAGGCTGGGGTATCACCTAAGTGATCACGGTGTCTGTGATCTGGATGCTGCTGCCACCGACGCGATAATTGGTAACTGACCCCAAAGAACTTGCAGAACATCCTTGCCACCTAGACCTGGCCTCTCGCACCTCAATTTGACCAATATCCCTACAGATGAGTAAAGCTTGAGTCTACAGTCACAGTCCCCTTTGCCCCTTACAGCTAACATGTTGGGGAAAGGAGAAAGGATGGTCTCAGGAGGAAGGACTGACATTCGGCTTTCATTCTTTCTTCTGCTGAGCCCTTACACATGTCTAGCAAGGAAAACAAAGGCGACATTGCAGCTTGGATATGTCCTGGACAGCAGAAATGACAACGGCAGTGTAGGCTGGGAAATACCCAGAAAACACACTCTCAACGAGTGCTGAGTGAGTGCTGCAGCAATTAAAGGATTTTTTTTTTATTTCCTTTTTATTTAACACCACAGTGGCAGTTAAATACCCTATTTCAGATTGAACAAAAGGTTTTCATTTTGCTGAGGAAAACAAAAGTCTACTTAACCAAAATGAAAACCAGAAAATGTTCACATCAGATTGAAAAAAGTATGTGATTTCACCCCAAACCAGATTTTTTTCTGTTGAGATCAGTTCATTTTTTTCTGGGTTTTGGGTTTTTTCAATTGATTTGGAGGCAGAATTGAAAAAGTCAAGTACAGCAAGGGTGTGGGGAGAAGTGATAGCATTTATGAGAGCAACTGATATCGCTGGAAAAAACAGACCAGCCCTCAGGCACAAAAAGGTTGTTTGTTTCTTCCAGCTCTATCAGTTGGTCTCATAAAAGTTATTCCCTCTTCCAAAATTCTTCTCACTTATCTCCTTAGTCTATCCTGGCTGCAAGAACATATCTACTGAAACAGCAGTTATTAGTACTGTTCAACATATAAAGATGACAGACAAATCTAGAAATTACAATGGCAGCTAGTTAAACCCTATCTGTTTGTACAGATTCTTGTGTCTAACCCAAGACTAAAATAGTTCCTTAATCAGAGGGCAGATGATTAACAAAATATGATGTTATTAACTCTACCAGCATCAAGAGCTGAGCGCAACCAGCTCCCACAGTGCCTGTAATGTGGCTCCCCCATAGGTTTAACAGCACACAGCACCTTGCCAAGCAGAGATGAGCAGCAAACCTGACCAATTTGTAGAACTGCCCATCCAAAACAGGTCCGTGACTGCAGTCTTTGACTCTTTGACCAGAGTGAGCAGCAGATTATCACGACTCAAGGATTTTTAGAAATGGATGGGCTTAACAGCCCATAACTCTTTTCTGGAGAGTAAAATCAGGGAGGAAAAAATATATGTGGTGCGTCAGAGAAACTCTCCACAATAGTACTTCAAGGTGGCTGTGGCACAAGCCTCTGGACAGAAAGAAACGGGCATTAAAGTGAACATAATGTGGGTGAGCTTGAGACATGCCAGACTCTCTTATGCACTCTAACACATACCAGCACAGCTTTGCCAGCTCCTTAACAGCACGCATCACTGGAGAGCACCCAACCCAGCTGGACCTCTTTTCAGAGGAGAGCTGCGTGAGGTGGCAGCCCTCTGCCCCATGACTTACCCTGAGCTTTCCATCCCACACATCATTCCCTTTTTCTGTAGATCCTTATGCTGGCCCTGTTCTGCTGGATGAGAAACTAGCATCTCGCTGTGGCTATGTCCTGTCAGAAGACGTGTGGGGCAACCCCGTCTTCCGTGCATCAGTGCTTGGCTGTCATGTGGTCAACGAGGTAAGACCCAGAGACGGGCTTTGAAACAACTCAGACAGTACATCCTCTCCAAAAAGACAAGATTGAGATATTATACGGCATCCTAATGGCATGTTTTGAGAACTCAAGAAATAGTGAACTCAAGGAGTTAGTGTCGATGGTGTGTAGAAATGAATAGGCAAAGGCTCTCCAGTATGCAGTTTGTTCAGTGTGACTGACATGGGATTTCCTCTCTCCATGAAATGACACTTAGCCTAATGCTGCTGACTAGCTGCCAGTTCTCAAGCATATGCTTGTAGCTGCTGATTTGCCAGAGAGTTTCTTGAAACCCTCTCTGGAAAGAAGTAGGCATCTGCTTGAAAAAGCAACATTTGCAGTGTGATCCTGGCAGATCATTTTCTGGCTTAATTTGTGTGGTAATGTGCCTGTTAACACATGCCTAGGAACGTAGATCACACACATCTATTAGACCCAGATTTGTCTCACGTAACTTTAGCCATCTAAAAGATAATGTCTAGTCTAAACTAGTTGTTTACGCTTCCACAATAGTCAATGGAGAGAAACAGGCATCTCCGGAAGGTGATTCACCCCTTCCTAAAATATGTGTAAAAGTGTAGCCTGGATTTCTAATTTCTAAATGTTAGCTGAGATGAAATGTACCTAGAAACAGAACATATCAGAGTAGAAACTTCATTGCTTGTCCATGTTTAGTCTGGTTGGTCCTGGAAGCCCCACAGAAAAAATAAGGTAAAACTTTACGGGCAGAGGTTATGCTAACAAGAACAGGGGGTGTACAGTGTGCTGTGCAACGACCAAGATTTCCAGACTGGAAATTTCTCTGGAAAGGTTTTGCCTTTCTCTGTAGAAAAATACACATCCATATCAGACAGAAGCACAGTCCATGGCTTCATGTGTGGCTCCTGAAGAGGTGAAGGACCAAAAGCTAGTCTTATTGAAGCTAGTCAAGACAGACACTAAACAGCATTTGTAAGATAGATCTGAACTACCTACACCAAACTAAAAGATCCAGTACTTTCTCTCCATGAGGAGGCACATAGCAGTCATGAATGGGAGGAACACAAACCACATGGTGAGGCAGGTCAGCTCGTCCCCTGACTAGCTGCTCCTTAATACTGTGGCAAGAATAGTGCTGAGGTGTGATCTGAGGCAAAGGCTGTAAGTACTGAGGCAATGTCTCCGGCTCAGAAAGCCCCTGCACACAAACCACTCAAGATGGGTTGGTATGTTGGAGGAACTCTCACTACAGCTCTCAACCTGTTCTCATCATTATAAAGTACTCTCAGAAACAGGACACTGGGCTGGATGGTCCCATGCAGCCACTCCTGGGACTTTCCACACTATCTGCTGAATTGCCTGTTTTTCTTCTCAGGCAGATGAGCTGTTTTCACTGACTGTGAACATCAAGGTCTCCTCATTTTCCAGCATGAGGGCAGCTGTGACCTACACCTACCCTATGTACTGCTCCTATTCTTCCTGGGCTTCAAGAGAAATTGTGTGTGAAGAAAACTACATGGAGGTAAAAGCTTTCCCACTGAAGGTGAAGCTACATCCAAGCTCCCTGCCAGGCACAACCACCTCCACAAATTCCTGTCAGAAGCTGATTTTACACTATGTACCAAGCGTAATAGTGACCTGCTGATATTCAGCAGAGGGGGTAATTGCAGATGCTTATTAGTAACACATTTACATGTCATAGGTATTTTGAATGCAGTGAAATTCTGTTAACTGTACAGATGATGTAAGTCAAGCCACTGCAAGCAAATCAGCAGACAGGCAGGCCAACCTGTTTAGCTCACGAGAGTACCTTTATGTTATAAAGTGCTGCAGCATCTGTGAGAATGTCATCCTTATACTGAAATAATAAAACCTAGAGTTTGCAGAGCTGCGTCCCTGCTGCATCACATAACTCACAGGACATCATCATGAGCCAGAACCTGCCTCCTGCTGGGTGGTACGGTTTGGCTGTCCAGCCTGCTACCAGCACCTACACACCAAGGTAGGAATAAGGCACTGAACAAAACAAACTTCACTGCCTTTTGTATGCACCTACTATAGGCAGGACGAAGAAAGCATATTTCTCCTGTTAGGACTTAAGGCTGTACAGTCACATCTGGGTGCTGCAACACACTTAAACCATGGTACAGATGTCTGAGGCAAACACTGACTCCCAACTCAGTGTCCAGAACTCGCCTCACTCTGCAGCACATGCTGGCAAGATTTACACCATAGCACCTACCTTAGGTATTGGGGATCCAGCATTTTCAGGTGTTCAGCCTGCATGGGAAGAGAGAACCAGTCCTGTTAAAGCCAACAGCCTGCTTCCCTATACCTCTGGTGGCGAGACCCAGATGCCCCTGAAAGTCTCCAGAGTGGGATCTAGTTTACAGCTTACCAGATATGAAACAGGACTTTTGATTTACCTGGTTATACACAAAGTATTGCCTCTGCTGTACATGCACCCCGATAAATGCCATGGCTTTAACTTTCATTTTAAAGCCACAGAAATTACCACCATCAAGAACCTCTTTGGAAACACTTTAATCACCTCCAGTGAATGTAAATTGCTAAATCCTGACAGACACTGGAGAAGAAATCTGAAAGCCCTCTCTCTGCTCCCCATCCCTGTAATGATGCTGAAGATTTGTTTGCTCCCAAAGGATCTCCTCTGTGTCCCCAGGTGTCAGTGAAGACTGATGTTCCTGCAGTTTCAAATGACTACACCGTAGCATGGATGTCAGCACTGCCAGAGGTATGAAGGGGACTCTTTCCTAACAGTTCCTAGCCTGCCTCTTCTCACTAGTCTCATGAGTCATTCTTGGGGCATAGCTCCATCTCTGTCGAAAAAAGGGAGATGGCAAAGACGCCATCAAGTGTTGAAAAACCTCTCAAGTTTTCTTACAGCTCTAGACTACAAAAAGACATTTAGGTGGGAGAACAGAGCCATATGCTTGTTACATTAGTGGAAACTGAGTTCAAGACAAACAAGGGTAGGTGGTTCTTCACACAATGGGTAGTGAATCTGTCAAACTCCTTGCCAAAAGATGTTATGGCTGCTAAAAGCTTGCTTGATCTCAAGGAGAGTCTGGAAAAGTTGACTGAAGAGAAATCCAATAAGACACGCAAAATAGAGAGAAGCTACAGATAGCTCAGGAGTCCCTGCACTGAAAATTATTTGAGGCTGGAAAGTATTAAGGGGAAATATATACGCTTGTCCTATTTTTCTCATGTCTTACTTGCTCCTTATGCCCATTTTTCCTTTTGACTATCCTCTCACATGGTTAGCATTTCAGGAGACTCTGTTCTAGACCAGTACAGACATTCCTCTCTTCTTATCTTTGACGCAGTATGGCTACATACTATAAAAGGTAGCCTGTCATTTGGCCTCTGGACTGCTCATGGACAATGGACAGACATGAAGGCAATCATTTTATTAACAGCACAGACATTTTGTCCAAGGGGATTTGTTCAAGGCCACCAGTCTAAGTTTCTTCCAGGGCTGCTATAAGACTATCTCTAAAGATGCCTTAAAGAGCTATAGAATTCCTTATTTTTATATATATATCAAGGGTATTTCTTCTCTGGGGTGAACTAGTTTTGTCCGGATTTGTTTAATGCCAGCCACCAGTCTAAGTTTCTTCCAGGGCTGCTATAAGACTATCTCTAAAGATGCCTTAAAGAGCTATAGAATTCCTTATTTTTATATATATATCAAGGGTATTTCTTCTCTGGGGTGAACTAGTAGTGTCCAGTGTCACTTCAGTTACTCCAGCTTCTAACAGGAAAATAGGTGCTACAATATCATAGTTTTTTAAGAGACTTTGATAGACTTAGATCTGATGCAGCTCATCTCTCTCTTACAGACTCAAAATGTTGCATACCAGCTATGGCAACTGATGTTTGTTTCTCCATCAGGGAGAAAGAGAATAACGGTAAGCGATGCAACAAAACTGGGCTACAGCTTCAATAATACGCTGTCCCGAGTGTACCTCCGTGCACCGTATCACAGCAACGAGTCTGACATCAGCGTGGTGAGTTGTTGCTCTCAAATGGACACAAAACTGTGCTGTTTCCACTGCCTCTCTAGAACATCAGTTCTCTTTTTCTGCCTGCATCCCAACAGGTCAGTGGTGTAAATATGAACATGGTCACTTCTACTTCCATGTACAGGCAGCGGTGGCTGCTTTTGCTGATCGACACGACTGTCTCCTGTCCTGTTGGTAAGGATTTCTTCCTTTTTCACCAAAAATAACCACCTAAGGAGCTAGTAGAAAACACAGTCTCCCCATGTTCCTGTGACCTACTCTGCAAGACAAGAGGTTTACAAGCTGCCCTCAGAGTAACATGAGCCAAAAGTCCATGGCTTTAGTCCCGGACAAACATGTTCCCTGCTGTGATGCTACATTACTTGTGTTCCCAGTCCAGTGTCATGCCTTGTCTCTCGTTTCTCAAACCCCCACGTTAGATGCAGGGAACTGGAGACAAGTAAAACAACTGCTGCAGAAGGGCCAGGGAGCCTCCCCTGGGCTAATGCCATCGCCTTGGCTCTCCCCTGTCATATAAGTCTAGTCATTTAACAGGCTGCCCAGGGAAGTGGTTGAGTCTCCATCCCTGGAGGCATTTAAAGGACGGGTAGATGTGGTGCTTAAAGACATGGTTTAGTGGTAGACTTGGCAGTGTTAGGTTAACGGTTGGACTCGATGATCTTAAGGGTCTTTTCCAACCTTAATGATTCTATGATTCTATTATTCTAAGTCCACACAGGGGATGCAACTCTGCATCCTTGGGACTTACCTTGTCCTTTTCTCTGGAGAGGCAGAACTTGCCTGGCTTTTTGCAGAACAGTGGTGGCTGCACCTTCTGTCTCTCACAGAACGGTGTTAATGTGAACAACTGATGGGGAAGCAGGAGGTTTTAAGTTGTCATGATCTTGAAGCCAATATTTCAAGGAGAAGATCCAAACAGGTGGTTTTGTGCCCTATTCCTTTTGCCAGTAAGGCAAAACTCCTGGGACGAGAAGGACAACAGAGCAGGTAGCTGGGAGCATGACTGTCAGTTCTTCTGAATAAATTAATTAGTCACCTGAAACTGGTAATTCAAGTCTACTTCGAGCACCAGGGTTTCTGTGGCAAAATAGCCATCAGTTGGCTAATATCCTACAAGGTGTTTCATTAGTGAAAGCTGTAAAGGTACCCTGGTGAAAAGGATTCAGGGAAAGACAGTCGTTGCAGAGTGAAGATTGACTGGTAACACCAATTACCCGGTCTTCTGGGACTGTCTATCTAACTCAACAGATGGCATCAGTTTCACTGATACTACGCTAACATGGACCGTGCCAAGTGTTATCCCCACATTAGTGGTTCAAGAATCTACCTTTCTGTCTAAAAACATTTTAATGGGAGTTGATGATCGAGTCGTAGTAAGTCCGGAGGAGAAGAACTACTTACTGGAGCACAATGAGACACACATCAGAGTAACTGTCCCTATTGGAGCAGAAGGAGGCAAGCTAAAGGTTAGTATGAACCTGTCACACACTGACACATTTGAGGGCCTGCACCATGAAAGATGTTTCTAAATCATGATCATTCCACATCATTCCAAATAGTGACTGATTGGTGCTTAAAATTCTCAGATATAAGAAATATTTGAAGAGCTAGATGCTCCTTTTCTGTGTTTTGAAAGCACTTACTCAGAAATTAAGTATCTATGATTACAAAACATGATAGAAGCAAGAGACTGTCTTTTGTTAATAATCTAAAATACATACTAATAAATTAAGAGTGAAGGGATTTCTGAGTTCAGTTAGCTATGATGTTACGTTATGAAACTAATCCTGGTAAAATTCTGGCCTGGGTCAGGGAGTAATTTCCCAGACAATTCCCATGCAGACAGCATGAGTTAGCATGGCACAGGTTCCCAGCATCTAGTCTGGGTGCAGCCATCTGCTGTGGACATAGTATATTCCTTGTCAATCCATAATTTATAGGTACAGACGCAGTGTCGAAAGAAATGTTCAGTAGAACAGAATAGAATGGTTTGGGTTAGAAGGGACCTTTAAAGATCGTCTAATCCAGTCCCCCTGACATGGGCAGGAACATCTTTCACTAGATCAGATTGCTCAAAATTCCATCCAACCTGACCTTGAAAACTTAGGGCTCTTTACCAGTTCCATTTGTGAAGATGACATTGGAGTGATTTTTACTTATCCCCTTCAGAAGTTCACTTTTTTCTGTATCAGTAGACACTTACATCACTCTGTGTATTGTAACACCAGACAGGCTTGGTCTGAAGAACCGTTGGAAGCACTGACAAACTTTCAGAGTGAACTGGGACAGAATGAGAGACATGACTGGTAATCCAGGGATTGTAAAAAAACAAATGCAAATATGGTTACTTACTAAACTTAATGAGGACCCCTCCCCAAACCTGATACTTCCTTACTGAGAATCTCAGCAGTATTGGAGCCAAACATGGACCAGAAAAATGGGCCAAGCAGACAAACAAACAAGCTCCCCTAGGAAAATCCATCCCAAACTGTACTAGAATACCATTTTCTCTTTCTAGTGTGAGAATTTTAACCATATTCAGTCATTCTTCTATTGAGCTATTGAGAATTAAGACTTAATCACAAATTTTACCTCCTAGAGCTCCATATCTGGTGGTGTATATGGGGTCATTTACAGCATTGACTTGTTTTTGGAGCACACGTGGACAGATGCAGATTGGCAAACCACAAAGTATACTGTCATCAAATCCATCACCACACCTTTCATGCCACAAATACCAACTGTTACCAACAGTAAGTCATTCCTCTCATTGACTTTTACCAATCTCTCACTTTTCCTGTGTTATACATTGCTCCATTTGACCTCTGCCACACACCTACATTCACTAGAATGTTCTCAACTCCCACTTCCAATTTGCTAGCCAAAGTCAAGATTCAAGGTATAAAATATCCCAGACCTTTAGCCTTAATGGACGCACCATTTATCACCCGTCATTATAGGAAGAAATGAAAATTATAAGTTGCTGATAAGAATGTAAACATTTCTCTCACACTAACATCCAGATTGTTCCAATGAGCACTGGGACCCTAGAATAAAGATGTGTTGTGCAATTACCAGATTGGGGAGAACTGTCTGAGGACAGCGCTCGTTGATGGCATTTTCTCCCCCAGACTGCCAGCATTTGTTATCTTGGGAGCATATTGAGATCATTGTGCCATCCAATGGTGCAGTAATGTTTTTTTAATGGTATTTTCCAATGCGTTAAGACACTAAACATCTTTGGAGCTGTCTGGATAACTGATATAGAAAAAAACAGGAGCCTCAGCATACATTATGATAGTTTTCCATATTTTATGTCGCTGAACTAGATTCTAGATTTCTTTATAGGAAAGTCATTGCACATCTTAGTGCACCTCTAGAAAGTTACTGAACCCACTTTCTATCAAGTTGTATGTATTTGTTGTTAATCTCCTGCAGCTTGAAGCAATTCTCATGTACTCAGGGTATTTCAGATCTGACTAGAACACAAACACTCATTAATCAGAGCCATTAAAGAGATGGCTGTTGGCTAAGTTTCCTGGAACTTGAATGGGAGGCCACCCCAACCGTCTTCGTTACTTCGTCCACATCAGCAGTAATTTGATGTTCTCTCCCTGCAGATACTCTGCCAGAGGAAAGGCTATTTAATGTTGCATTTGGACACTTTCTTCCCGATGTCTCTCTGGTGGCAATCGCAATAGGAAATGTGCCATTTACCCTGAGGGAAGCACAGCACCACGGGTTTAAGATTTATGAAACTCTCTTTCCTAATAGAACGAAAGGATTTATCCTGGAAGTCTCTTTTGATGATCCGTATGTCCTAAAGGAGGTAAGATATAGCAGGTCACTTCAGCAGCTGAGTGGAGGAGGTAGGGCAGTCCCTTTTCAGAACATAGTCTGGCTTTTATTAACCAATAACTGTTCCTTGATCACAAAGGTGTCACTGAATCTGAGCTCATCTGAATTAAGAATAGAGGCTTGTATGTCCCCACCTTGCTCTCCCTAGGTCTCTGGGAGACATGCAGCATCAAGTGTGATTAGATGGTAAGAAATATGACTTCCTTTAGTGTCTGTCAGCATGGCTAATGTCCGAGCGCACGCCCAGCAGGAAAAGGTTTGTCAAAGGTCTATTAAATGCTGTCCCTTGAAATAGTAGTTCCTTGGAAAAATAAATCAATTATTGCAATCCTGAAAACACCAGTTACCAACATCCAGTAATTCCTGAACCTACTGTTTATGCAGAGCCATTTGATCACTGGCACAGGCCATGCAACGTGCGAGCATGTACAGGCAGGCTCAGGGTATTCTAAATGTAATTTTGTTAAGCTTCAGACCATTTGTAATCTAAATATTTGTTAAAAGTATAAACTCACAGAGGGAATTCAACCCCTCATTTCAGTTGGAGGATGCATAACTGCAAGTCCTCTACCACTGTTTCAACCAAATCACACAGAGCTGCAATGCTATTTTCTGTTACAAGGAACAACACTGTGAACGCACAGGATCAGGTCTTGCGCAAATAGTTTTCAGGCTGCAGTCAAACCACAGTTAAATTGCATTAAGGATCAAAGCAAGCCAAAAATGTTCAGAAGTATTTCTTTCAGGTTGAACAGCAGGTTTTGCTTTGGGAGCACTGTTAGTGAAGTAGAGGAGGATATTGAGATGGATCTTTCATAGCATCTCCTCACACCTTCTGCTTTACTGATTACTTACTCTCCAGGGTTCAGCCCACACTCTGAGTAAAGAAGAATAAGGATTTGGACCCGGATCTCCCTCTATGAGCTTTCACCAGTGGGCTACAGAGGAAACACCACTGTGTTCACATCTGCCTCCATTTTCTGAACAGGCACTACATTCTCCACATTTATGTTTGGCTGAAAGAGCTGTTGAATCCAGTCCAGATTTCTGAATAGTTTTAGGCCAACTGAAGCGATGTTTTTGGAGACTGAGCTATTTGCAGGGGAGAGGAGGGTGTTGGAATAACTATTTAGTGCTGCTCAACATATACATGCCTGTCTGTGCTGGAAGCCATTGCTACTGCAGCCTTACACTTCTCTCTCTTTCAGTATGTGAATAGAAATGAAACAAAATATACCCTCCTTATTAACTACACTATGAGCGTGGGTCCGGAGATGACACTTTATTATCATTCGGCAGAGGTGGAGTGTGTGGTTGCTGATATCGGTAAGCTTTCCCCTGATATTAACTGGTTTGCATCAACAGCATGGATCAGATTTTCATTGAATTCAGTGAGAACGGCATTAGACTGAGGATGAGAGCTTTTGGGAAAACCCCACCCTTCAATAGCTCATTATTGGTAACATAGCCAACTTGCTGCTTTTCTGATGGCAGGTCTTCTGCATACTGGCAAGACAGTCTGCCCTCAAGACACTGAGAGCAATAAAAACTAGTGTGTAGAAGAAGTTGGCTTGCTAACTCAGTGAACAAGATGCCTCATAACTTGAACATACATCTACTGGCAAAACTTTCAGACATTGCTATGAATTTCAGTTTGTCCTCAAATGCAATTCTGCCTCTGAGTCCAGGGCAGAACTCAACTGACTCAAATAAATTGCTGTGAACTCCAAAGACAGCATTTCTGTAAGGAGAAAATCATCCACTAAGTGATGTACTTAGCAGATTACTGAAACAGTCAGGAGGTCTGATTGGTATTTTCTCAAACTTCTTAGATTTTGGACGCCATGAAGGTGACAGAGTCTCCTCACTGTCCTATTTTATCTTTGAAATAGCTCTGGCTTCAACCCAAAGAAGGCAGACCAAAAAAATAGATGTACATACATAGCTCAGCTTGCCTTACTGAAACGGGGAGTAGTCCTGGAAGCAGGCTGGCAGGCCACTGCTGAAGCACGAGGATTCCCAATCCCATCGCTTGTGAGCTGCTACATCCACAACACAGCCAAAGCCCTGCCGTTGATGCCAGTATGCACGTAATGGTGCTGCTGCGGTGCCAGTGCAAAATTTACCCATGATAGAAATCCCTGCCTGGGCCAAACATCATCACTCAAACCTTCCTTTGTTGCTAACTCTTCATCCCACCTTCTTCCCGCAGAACTACCAGAAGCAGTTGGTTACTGTGATGAAGAAAACCTGTATCTAGCCATCCCTACTTTTGGCTTGCACCAGTATTGGAACCTGTATCTTGGCAACAAGCTCCTGAATCGGCATGTTGCGCTTACCAATGGGTATCTTGCAGCTACCAATTCTACACACCTGATCTTGCAAATACCTCTGTTTGCTGTGGGAGTTATCTATGAGGTACATGAACTGTATAGTAAAGCCTTCTTTAAAGCACATAGGACTGTTTGCTCATACAGCCACAGGCCTACTGTCACAGCTTATAGTGCTGTAGTATTACACATATTGGAAAACTTCCAGAGGGAAGGACTCTAAGCCAGTGCAAGTAGGACAAGAGGTATGGGACATGGACACTTCTGGTAATGCCATGTGTTATGTAATCTGCAGTGCTAAGTTGTCTCTAAAAGATATGCACCAAGTCTTCAAAAACAAACTCCCCAGTATTTTTAGTAAGATGAGGCAAAATGTCCCATCTGCACTGAGCCAGAAACAATATTTCAATATGGCTTTTATGAAAGAAGCTCTTTTAAAGGAGCATTTTGTAGAAATGTTAAGACATGGCAGGGGAAAATTGATGCTGTAATAAACATTTGAACTATTCTACAACAATCAGCCAAAATTTATCTCTGTGACAGCGACCAATTAATTCATACAAGAAAACTTCTGCCCCCGTATTGCATCAGGCTCGAGTCTTCACACTGACTTAACACGTGTGACTTGTTAGTATTCCAGCAGTACAAACTAAAGAGCAGAACTTTGTACACATGGATCACATGCCTTAACAGGAGACCTCTTCCATCCCCTCCTTCACAGGAAGTGTCCTTTCAGAAAATTAAAGCAAGGTTTGATGTTTCTCTAAGGAAAGTGAGAACTATGGAGACCTTAGAGATGTTCTCTGTTAGGTGCAGTTTTCATTCTTCAGCATTTATAAGTAAGTAAGTCATACAACTGATCAACCAATAAAAAGATCTGTGATTCTTTCTTTGAATTTATAATCAACTCTCTGATTTTCTCAGTATGCCACCCAGATGGTACCATAACGATATCTGCCCAAATGAAGACAGTTCCTGCCATTGATATGAGTAAAACCAAACTAAGGGATAGCTCTTGCAAGCCTAGAGAGTATAATGAAGGACATGCCTTCTTCAAGTTCCACGTCACTACCTGTGGTACTTCAGTAAGGGTAAGCCCACGGCCGGAGCAGATACATCTGCTGAAAGTCTCTGTCTCTCCTGCATTTTCTCTTTTGTTCCCCTGCCCCAGCTCCTGAGAAGATTCAATTTTTAATGAGCTTCCCATATGCACAGTTTGAAGGTGATCACATTATTTATGAAAATGAAATCTCTTATGAGAAAGAGACTCTTCCAGGACAGAGCATACCGATAATCACAAGAGATCCAGACTACAGGTAGGAGCTGCTGCTCACTGACACTGCTCACTTTGGTACAGCTGCTGGAAAGTAAAAGTGAACACAAAAATTACCCTTTCTCCTATTACAGACTAACAGTCTTGTGCTACTATCGAGCAAAAGAGACCGTAGTGCTAGGTGCCTTTGCTAGTGATCCATCCACATCACCTCCCTTTGGCTCCGGTACGATGGTACCAAGATCAAATACTGCAGGTAGGCAATTCTCTTCCTCCATTTTTCAACTTCTGTGACTCTTTCATTTGTAAGTTTGCTTGTTAAGACATGCCCTGCTTCCTACTAAAGAACCTCACTAACATTTCCTTTTCTGCAGTATACAGAAGGGTAAGACAAGCCTTGAATGTAGTTTCAAGAGTGTCCAAAGGTAAGTCTCCTCCTACGAAAATCAGAAAATTTCCAAATATGTTCTAATTTAAATAAAATTAAACAACAACAAAATCCCCTGACTTTTTCTCGAGATGAATCTTTCATGGAATTCTACAAGCCTAACATGGCAATACTCAAGCGACCTGTGGAGCCTGTGTTTCTTGAGGTGGAGCTGAAAGACGAGAGCCCCGACACTGAGTTATACCTGGAAAACTGCTGGGTAACCAGGTCTTTGGACTTCAACAGCACCCCGAGATGGAACATCACCGTGGATGGGCAAGTAGTTATTGAATGATCAATGCGCTCATCAGCGAAGCCCTAATTTCTTCTAGATCTGTTGACCTGTTCTTTCAAATAGGTGTGAGATTAACGGCAGCGAGTATGTTGCAAAGTTCTGTCCAGTAGCTGTTAGCCCCAGGGTGAGACACCCTTCTCATTTTAAAAGGCTAGCAGTAAGGACCCTGGCGCATCGACCGGAACAGGTAAGATTAAGTGAAAGGGTCACCTCCCATGCATGGACCCTATCCTCTACACTTCTTAAGACCATTTTAAAAATAGCCAATTTAAACACCTCGCGGACTTAAGACCTAGCCAGCATTCAACCCAAGTAGCCTGACAGGTGTGCAGCTTTAATTTAGTTCTCTTCTCAAATCTGCTCTGCAACACAGTTTCAGTGACTTGAGATTGGACTGGCTAGAGTAAACAAGAGTTTGGTATGTAAATATGATTTTTATATGCCGTTTCTGACTTTTTATAGGATCGGATTCATAGCACTTCAGCTCAGAAAGTCTAGAACAGAAAAGTCAAGTTAGATGCCATAATATCCACATGAAGTTCGGCTTTGTTGTCTCTCACCCATCCCAGCCAGTCAACCATCTCCCCCGATGCCAGCCCAATGGGCAGGGAAGAAGAGGCATGTGGGTCTGGTCTTACACTTTTGAGGTTCTGTGCCCCTCTAACAGGTCTAAGAAGAGCAAAGAAAACCCCAGGACAGTCACCTGAGGATGCTTTGCTTCTAGTGCACCCAGTTGCATGGATTCTAGCACATGTACTGTTACAAGCCATGGCAGTACCCCTGCCTGGGCAGCTTAAGTAACCACATAATTTTTTGACTTGGCCTTTCATAAGCAGTTCAACTCATGAACTTGCTAGAAATGAACATGATGCAATTCTGGCTTGCGCTGCTTCCTAAGTGCGCAGCTGCATCTAGCACTAGATTGAGTTTCTGTCTAGCTTTGATGCATAGCCTCACTGCAGCTCGTGAGGTTTTAACTTCTCCTGTCTCAGCCTCTCAGTTACCAAACTGCCCGAGGGCTTCTTTGACACCATATTTGAAATTCAAGGCAGGTTCAGCTAGAAGGTGCTGCATGCAAGTGGTCAGACAAGCCTAAGTCTAATCAGATGTAACTTCTGCAAAAGGTGGACAAAAGACAAAACGATGATCTGCAAAGCAGGATTTGATATGGACCAAGTGGTACTTGTTCTTCTTCTCAGGTGTATGTGCACTGTTTGGTGGCAGCGTGCCCTCCCACCAACACACCACCTGGCAGCCCCTGCAGAGGACAGAGCAGCACAAGCAGGGAGAGGAAGGGTAGGTGTTCAGCAGAAAAAGAGCCATTGCAAAGCACTCCTGACCTGATGTTATTAAGGGATTTAGGGCCTCTGGTTTTGGCATCTGAAGTGCCTTGAATATGGACTGTGTAACATTACCTTTAGTTCATACTTTAATACATTAGCACTTAACGTGCAGCATGTATGTATTCTTTAAAAAATACACAAATACACTGTGTACCATTCTCAGCCTTTCCAGGTCACTGCTCAGCCATTCTCCAAGGCTACGTACTTGCTGGACCAGTCCAGATTGTTGATCCAGATCTAAGATGACACATGTAAACTGAATTTGGTAAGAACACCAGGCCCTGCTTACTCACCTAGAGAGGTCACCACGCTTTGTGGCACAAGCGGTGCATAGCCTGTCCTTCAAGACCTGAGAACTGTAAGTTCTGGGACATGAACTAGGGAACAGGCAGGGTTTGCAGTCTCCTGGTCTAATCTTGAGCCCATAAGAGAGGGAAGAAGGAGAGCTACCCGCCAAGCCAAACACAGGTGGCATAGCTCTGGAGAAGATGCCAGCAGTAGAGCAGGGCATGTTGGAGTTGGGCTGTAGCAGGCAGTTTTGGAACCAGATATTATTTCAACAGATTTTCAACTGGACTACCCCCAGTTTGGAAGAAAATGGATCCAAAATTTTAGAAACAAACACTAAGGCACAAATCACTGCCATATTCCAAATTCTTTTGAAGGGCCCAAATCCTCCAAACTGTTAGGGTTTACCCTATAGCTTCATCTGCCCTTGGAGAACCAGAGCTGTTCATCCGTGTGCTCCAGCCTCACTCCTCACTTCACTGTGTGTGTGTCTCCCACAGCGCCTGAAGGCTCTGCTGTCCTGGCTGCTTCCCAAACGGTGTAACCAGACACAGGAGCTACCTCTTTCAGTGACCACCAGAACTACCTTGCTTGAAGGGAAAAGACCAGACGGTGGGACTCAGGACAGCACCACAACACTGGAAAGTGCTAGGGTCTGCTAACAGGATTAGTAAATGTTGTAACCTCTGTTGTGGCTCTCTGAAGTGGCTACAAAAGAAAACTTACCAGAAAATAACCCAAGGCTGCAAAATAACAGTTCTTGTTTCTTCCAGCTGTTGAAATACGGACTTGCAGATCACTAAAATTATTCCAGCCCTGATTATGGCTGCTTCTTGTAATATTTCATAAAGTGACTGCCAATCCTCCCCTGTGAATGTAAAGCGCAAATCCGAAAAATCAAATAAAAATGCATACAAAGTAATGTAAGTGCAGAACATCTCCTTGCTAATGTGCAACAGCAACCATCTGGTGTACCAATGTTGGCTTCAAAGAGCCAAGCAATCTGCTACTTAGGGCCTCTTCCACGTGCAACGCAATGGCATACGTTTTTTTCCCATTAATGCAGATTTTTGTCTATAACATCGCATTGACCTGAGCACCTTGGAAACCTGTTAGTTCCTCACTTTCCTCTCACCTGCCCCTGTGTGGAAAAGGCTAACTACAAAATGGGAGAAGACAGATACTAACATGAGTAAAAAGGACAACTTATCTGGTATTTTGTTTTCTGTGCCCACAGAAAACTTTTTTTTTAATTATTTTCTAGAGATCAAGGACAAACCAGACACATGACCACCTGTAATCACTCTCAGGAGGTGCCTACACCATAACTGAAGGTGTGCCTGCTGTTCAACAGCAGTGAAGAGGGGGCAGTTGCGCCGATGCCGGCTAACAGCGCACACGTGTGCAGTCTCCAGTGGGTTTGCACAGCTCGTACAGCCTCGGTCTTCACAGGCTGGCTGGTTACACACGCTGATTAGCGCATATACGTGGCACGCTTCCCAAAAGCTGCAGTCATGCCTGTGCTGATTGCTGAATAAATGTAGTCTTAAAGCTGTATCTACTGAGGGACTAAGTTTTGTAAAAAGGAACGGGAGGGTTCTGGGATCCCAAGACCCCTTCAGCGGCAGCCTGGGAGATGCCTTCCCCTCTGCTGTATGAGCAGTGCACTCTACCGTCCGGAGCTGACACTACAGAGTCAAGCAAGCTTACTGCTCCCACACGTTTTCCAAGAGAGCACATTCCCCATTTTTAATGTTAACAGCAACAAACTCATCAGTTTAGGTTAACTTTCTGCTAATCTAAAAAGCAGTCCTTTTGAAATTTGTCAACTGGGATGAAGGTTAAATAATGATGACTAAATGCTAGCTCTTCTTTTCCCGGTGCTCACAGGACACACTCTAGTTTCATGCAGATGAGCATCAGGTCTGGTGTTGCATTGCTAAGGCTCGCTTGCTCTGCAGTCTTGCAGAGCAGATTCAGGTAAACTTGCCTGCAGCAAGTGGGATATCCCAGATCTTTCCCTTTTTCCCTGGAAAGCCAGGAAGGGGTCCAGCAGCGTTCCATACCCATCCACCCACCACCCAGCAGATGGGGAGACCTTTCTCTTCCAGCTCCATTGGGAGGGAAAGAGAAGGTGAGACAGACCTGCATTCCCATTTCAACAGGCATTTCAGGTTCCTACATTCTCACAGACAAGCCAGAGAAATTCCACATCCTTGGTTTCCTCCTCCTTCCTCGGTTGCTGTTCATGGCAGATGATGGTTTTTCACACATGCGTTAGGGTTAGGCACTCATTGTTTAGCTTTGAGGGTGTCTTTCCCAAGCTGTGATTCAGCCATGCTATTGCGTGGTGTATTGCTCTGTATCTAGGTTCTCCGGGGATTACTCTCTCCTCTCAGGTGTTGCAGCTGGAACTTCAGCACCTAACTCATGTCCTAGATTGCAGTTTTCAGGCCTATGGGCTTAAACTCTTTCTTGACTTAGGCTTTCAGGAACCACTCCGGTCATACCACTATAGTTGAACAAGCCTTCATTATTCAGCCAATGCAGAGAACAGGAATTAGGAAGGTGTGAGAGAGGCATTAAATGCCCAGATACAGGCACACAGGAGTCCCCATACAAGCCTGGAAAGCACTGATCAGCCTTTTCCATAGCAATAGGAGTTAGGTTGAAACCTACTGTTGCACCGTCTATGACAGAGTTGGACTAGCTGTTCCTTGCTGGGAGATGAAGTTATCCTTCAGGTCCCTTTCGCATGCTTATTGTACAACATAAAGACACTAATGATGAAAAACCTGGTCATGGGCTGTAGGAAGCGATGCTGTGGACTGCATCCAATCCCTCCCTGCTCATGGACTACAGGGATCCTACAAGGAAAATCTTGGAAACAGTTAATCTTCAGAAACAGAGTAGTTCAACTCAAATGACCACAACATGCTGCTAGGTGGGCCTCCACCTCGACCGGATCTCACAGCAAACTTTTTTCATAAAAAGCAACCAAGCCTTGCATCATGCATGAAAGCCATGGGTTGAAGTTGAATCTGTTCTACTGCTCCACCCTCTGCCTTCCCTTTCTGATAGTCAGGGGAGAGCACGACCTGCATAGCTGAGCTTGATTGATACAAAGGCATTCATTCCCCACAAAATTTGACTAGTGCACCTTTGCACTACTAATTTGTTTTTTTACCAAGGTTACTTACTAAACGAGACAGTGCGTAGTGCAGTCCTCAGTTGTAACAGCCACAGATTTTCAAGTTTTTAATGCTGACTTACGTCTGTTCTCCACTCGGAGGGAAAGCACGTGGAAGAGGAACGTATTCCGGCCACTTGATGTCCCAGCCCTTTCCCCTCAATGTGCTGCAGCTTTCCCTTTGGAGCAGCTCTCCTTGTTCCCCACACTGCATCTCACGCTAAACGTATATGAAACACTTCTCATACTGCTCTGTGCCCTGCTAACCTGGGATTTTATCATCTTTTCCTACCTTTCTGCAAAAGCAAGGGAAAGGCCTTGCAACACTGCAAGTGGGGTGACAACTCCTCCTCCTGCAAAGCATAGGGCGATGATGTTATTCTTTGCCTTGTTCTCTGAGCAAGTAAGATCTTAGACGCTGTTGTTCCAGATACTGAAGAAAAAAAAAAATCTGTAATTATTGAGGAAATCACATATTTTTTACAAGTTTCGAGGTAAATCACCAGGTGAGAACACTGTTACTCGTTGCCAAATTAATCCCAGCTATGGGAACAAAGTAAGCGGAGGGACTGCCAGGGAAGGTTGTGTGAAGGAAAGAGTCAAGGGCGTTTGGAGAGTAGGTTTATAGGTAGGAAACCTTGGGAAAACGGCTGTGAATTATTCACGTCTGAAATATTTCTGGCCAGAGTAAAGAGACAGTCAATGCACATTAGCAGCAACCACCTGTTGGACTTACTGGTACGGCGCCACGACTTTGACTAGAAAGCGCTTCGCAAGGGCGCTGGGGCGGGCAGACGGGATCGACCCAGACGCTCTACCGAGGTTTATAATTTTCAAGCAGAGACAGCCCCT